TTCTCTGAGGAACTTAATCCTGCCACAGACCATGCAAGCGAGCCAAGAAGCCGATGCACAGGATGGCCACAACCTTAGGAGAGACCCAGAGCTAGAGGTCATGGCAAAGCTGCACCAGGATTTTGTACTCAAAGAAACTACAAAATAATAGTTGTTGTTTTAAGCTACTAAATCATAGGGTGATTTGTTACACAGCAGGAGACAGCGAATACACATATCATTTTGTAAATGAGAAACCGAATCAAACTTCCCAAAGTTACAGTTACAGTTTGTAAACGGCAGAACCAAAATTATGAGTGAATATGGCATGTGTGTGTTAGATTCAAGACAGTATTACTTCAAGCTTGGTATGGTGGTGCATACCATCAATCCCAATACTTGAAGAGCTAAGGCAGGAGAATTGCCATTGAGCTTGAGGATAGCCTGGGCTACATGGTGAGATCAGGTTTCAAACAAAACAAAGCAAAAAAAAAGCAAAAAAAAAAAAAAAAGAAAAAAAAGAAAAAGAAAAGAAAAAGAAAAATGTGCACGTCTAAATTTTCTTGCTTGTAAGGTTCCATGTGACTGGGACACGAGAGTCCTAGAAGGCATGCTGCTCTGCGAAATCTTTGGAAAGTAGCCATGTTTCCAGGAAACTCTCTGCACGCCAGTGAAACGGGGATGGACAAAAGTTTCAATGGTGCTCAGTCCTTGGCTTGGCCCACTCCCTGCTGAAGAAGAATAGCTGACCCACCCAGCGATTAGACGATAGTAACTAGGGGCCCCCTTTCAATAGCACAATGGCCGCACTATGAGCTAACACTTCATCCATTTTATAAGTAAACAACTATTTTTACCTATCAGGTAGATGGGTAAAAATTCTTCTTGAGAATGAAAATGGATTATTTACTAATAAGGCATGGTGTGGCGTTTAAAAGTCACAGGCACTCTGGAACAAGAAAGCAAAAGGTTCTGCCCATGAGAACAGCCCCTTCCATAGGCTCTCCCTTCCCCTTCCCATCCGGGGAAACGGCCTTAAACCTGGAGACCACAGTGCCTGGTTCCAGCGGGGGCAGCAGCTTGGCACTTCCCATCTTCTAGAAGTTCTTCAGCTTGGGATGGTAAAATCATCTTCGCCTTGGTGTTCAGCCACAGTGCGTCTCTATGAAAACGACATGTTCTTGGGTTGGCTAATGTAATCTGCCGCCAGAGCAGCAGGCTTTGAACTTGGGGAGGGTTTCCAAGAGGCGAAGGAACTAGAGTACTACAGGTGGCACCCCCCTTTAACTGGTGGCACTGCATTTTATTGGCGCTCTTAGGCAAGCCGGTACAAAGTCCACAGATACTGTGGCCAGCCAGCCTCCAAGCTGGCTCAGCCCTCTCCTGGGCTTCTGGACCCATCCAGCTTTCCTTACCTTTTCCTCTCAGGTCTGTCCTCGGGCTTTTCTTCTTTCCTCCCTCTTTCTCCTCCTCAAGTCCCTCTTTTCTTTCTAACCCCCCCTTCCTTGTTAGCCTCTACCTTCTGAGATCCCCACCTCAGGAAACCACCTCTTATCTCCTAATCTTGGCTTGTCTCCAAGGGCTGGCTGGTGGCAGGTAGCTCTGGCCCCTGTCTGCTTTCAGAGTGATTTACTTCTCGAACCCATTTGGAACTGGAATTGTGTCTAGAAGTGGGGGGGGTGGGGGGTGGGAGAGTTAAAGAATTCCACAGGCAGAAACAGAGCTTGGCCCAGGTGGGATTTTGCTCCTTTAGACAAAAGAAAAGAAAAAAAGAAAGAAAGAAAGAAAAGAAGAGAAAGAAAGGAGACTTGGATGCTGTCCCCCTTGAAACATGACACACTGTAAAAAACAGGCGGAAAGAAACTAGCACCAGTGCCTATGAAGGCCGGGGGTATACTACAGTACTCCTCAGATATTGGGGTGCCACACCGAGTCCTCCATTTTCCACTCAGTTGGTGTTCATGAAAGATACACTTGCCCCTAAGATACTTGCCATCATGGTCTGAATCAAGAGGTTCAGGTTCAGGACAGACAGCACCTGCCTGGCCTCCACAGGCAGCCATACACCACAGGCTGCAGACAACCAGGCTCCAGGGCTGGAGCTTCCCAGGGGCGTTGGGGCTGGGGGTGGTGGTGGAAAAGTACACAGCACAGGGAAGAGGAGGCGAGCTGGCAGGTAATTCCGTTACAGGGTTACCTTGTGCATATAAAATCAAAGCGCAGGGGTCAAACGAGACTCTCCCCAGTTTTGATAACCCAACAGCCTTCTGTGACGTCAAAGTATGTGTCCTTTTGTTTGTTTTTCAAGGCAGGGTTTCTCTGTATAACAGCTCTGGCTGCTCTGGAACTTGTTATGTAGACCAGGCTGGCCTCGAACTCACAGACAGAGATCAGCCTACTTTTGCCTCCAAGTGCTGGGATTAGAGGCATGCGCCACCATGCTTGACAAAATATGTGTCTTTTTTTTTTTTTAAAGATTTATTTATTTATTATATATGCAGAAGAGGGTGCCAGATCTCATTACGGATGGTTGTGAGCCACCATGTGGGTGCTGGGAATTGAACTCAGGACCTCTGGGTGCTCCCAACCTCTGAGCCATCTCTCCAGCCCCATATATGTCTTAAAGCCTTCTTTATGTAAAGTTTTTCCTCTTCTTGCTGTTCATACACATTGATTTTAAATTTTCTCCTATTTTACATAGGAGAATGATAGAAGCAGATGTCCAAAAGCACTCAGGAAAACCTTGTTTTTAGTGGTTGAAATAATGAGTGGCTGACCTTTGTGGCCATTATCCACCAACTTTAGGGACAGCAGTTTGAGATCCTAAACTTAGATGGCGAGCCCCCTTGATGAGACTGGCCTAATTCTATGTTCTGTGTGGCACCCAGTCACCGGGGCTGTGGAAGAGCCATTATTACCTAAAGTACCATAATAATGGCCATGCCCTCCTGTGACGTCATTGTTTCCTATCTGCTAGGACATTAATTGCCTTCTAACTTGCTCTAAAATCGGTAGTACGGCACACCGCCAAGGCCAGGGAGAAGGAGGCTGCTGACACACATTAAAAGGCTGTGTAAAAGGCTGTTTGGATGTTGCCCTCTCACCGGGCAGCTTCCTGTTTGCTCGGGGTTACTTCATGTGCTATAAGCTATTGGACCAGGCTTTATGTCTTGACTTCTTGTCGTGGTCAGTGCACGGTCGTTCCCTGGGCGAAATGATTCAGACATCTCTGAAGTTATTTTGGCTTTCCCACTTTCCTTTTACGGATTTTCTGTGAGTCACTGAATTGAATGGGAGGTTATTTCTAAATTGGAAGGTGAGGATGAGAGAAAGGGGAGGAAGCTTCCGGAAGATAACTAGAGGAAAGAAAGAAAAAAAACCCACCTTATTGTTATGTATAGTTACTGGAGGAATAATTTCCGCTAAGCTTGATGATAGAAATGTGCAGTTTATTTAAACTCAACTAAAAATACAGGTTAGAAAATAGACAGCTCCCCCCACCCCCCACCCCAATCCCAAGCTGTACAGTTTTAGATTCTGGTTAGCTTGCTCTGCTAAGGGCAGAAGGTTAATAAATAGAAGAGATACGGGACAACCACTTGCAGCCAAAAGGCAGGGGGCAAAGTACACAATTTCCAAAGTCCACGCCTGGCCCCACGGGAAGGCCTTCACAGAAGACCTTGAGTTTGCGAATACAGACCTCCTTAAAGTTTATCACCGCAGGTTTGCATATTCCAGGCGGAATTGTGGAGAAGGTATATTTAAATTTGACTTAGAAACTGAGAGAGTCATCAGGCCAGCATTTTCTTATTTAGGAGCAGGAAAAGCAGAGGGAATGAAAAAGAAAAGCAGAGGAAGCTAATGATGAACGCATTTCTAGGAGCAGAGAGTTTTTATAGCAACACCAGATTTCTCAAAAATGCCTACTGGGATTTGTACCCAAATGAATAAGAAACGCAATCATTTATTCTCGTGTATTGTACCAAGCGAGGGTAGGAAAAAAAACAACTCTGCAATTCATTCAATGGTTCTAATTTAGAATGCTAGGAATAGGAGAGGTAGAGAGGGAGGGAAGGGAAGAAGGAGGGAGGGAGGGAGAGGGGCAGACATGAATATCAGCCACAGGAATAGAGAGAGAAGGAGGGAGGAAAGAGCGAGAGAGCGAGGGGGGATTTTAGTATCTGCAAGACAGCCTGTAATGCTATCTAAGAACAGCTGAACTTAAAAGCCAAGTACTGTAGGGAAGTGCGGGGTGGGGGTGGGGTGGGGTCGGGGTCGGGCCGGTGAAATTCTCATTTCCAAAGGGCCATAAGGGTAAGTCGCTGCCGGTTTATTCAAAACTTGGTGATGGTTGGTTGGCCACTTGGCAGACCCATGAGAATGGGTCTGGAAGCTGGAGAACCCTCACTATGCCAGACACTTCGGGTTCAGGACGATATTTATAATTGCAGCGGAAGCGGACTGCTGCTTAATAAAGGGCCGCGCTTTGCCCTCACCTAAAGCTTGGAGACTCCCGGAAAGAACTTCAAGGAAACTTCAAGAAAACCCGAGTCAACATTTTAATCTATGGACTGAGATACCTTTCTGCTGAGGGATTATTAGACCGTTCTTAAACACAACCTCTGAAGTCGATGTTTTGCAAGCGCTACCTCCCTAAGCTGGCAGAGAGGTTTTCCCCTCGTAGGAAGAGACCTGGACAAGGAAGAGTTTACAGCGCCAGCCCCACAACAAAGAGTTAACCCTTCCCGGTAACCTCGGACGTGAGCGTCTGCCCCTTCTCCGCTTTCTACTGCGCAACCAAACTGTGCACAGGGCTTGAACCAACCGCGGCCATCACACCCCTTGTCAGTTAAGGCAACAGACACTGGCAGTAGCCTATCACAACTTCGAACTGCCCACTCATCCACCAATTACAACTGAAGCTTGATCTAGGCCGGTCCCGGTCCGGGCGGGGGCGAGGACCCCGTCCAGGAAAAGGGGCGGTAAAGACACGTTGACGGGCAGGGAGCGTTAACCAATCGTAGCAGAGAGCCGCCGCCCCTCCACCCAATGGAGAAGTTGGAAGTGTCGTCTGGGGCGGGCCTGTTGTCATGGGGGAGGTGGTGGCGCTTGGTGGCTCCTGGCGGCCGAGGTAGAGTCTGAGGCGCCGGAGTTGTGCAGGGCCAGCGGCAGGTGAGTGCGAGCGAGGCGGGCCCGAGGTGCGGAGGTGGCGGCGGCCCGGAAACTCGAGCTTTGCGCTCCGGGAGGCGGAGGGCCCACGGGCCGGGGGTCGCGTCGTGGCCGGGCGCGGCGCGGCGCGGCGGGAGAACGGCTGGGTTCCTGCCGGCGGAGTTGGCGTTGGGAGGGTAGGTTGGCGCGGGACCCCGGCCGGGCAGGCCGGGAGGTTCCCCGGGGCAGTCCAGCGGCTCGGCCCGGGGGCGGGGGGCAGTGACCGGAGGCCGGCATGTGCGCGGCTTCCCGAAGAGACGGAGCTCCTGGGGGTGTGCGAGCGGGGGCGACCCGGAGCGAGCGGCCCTGGGGCCGGAGAGACGAGGGGGATCACCGGAGCTTCTGGGTGCGCTGGGAGCCGTGGGGACCGAGGCAACTGGGAGTGGCCCCTGTCGGAGAGAGGTGGGAGGTGGGGAGGCCGGGGTCCGGGGTGGCAGGGAGCGGAGGAAAGGCACCGAGTGGGGTGCGAACCCTTCCCCCCCAACCCCCCGAGAAGGGCAGCGGTCGGAGGAGGAGGAGGAGGAGGAAGGGGCTGCGGGGTGGAGACCTTGAACTAACTGCTCCGGGAAGGGACCGCAGCGCCCTGCCCCCTCCCCCCCCCCCCACGGCGGGTCTGGGACCGGAGTCGGGACGGAAGACCCTCAGAGTGAAGGCTTGGAGCGGTAGCAGTTGGGATCTGAGACCAGGGTAAGGGTTCAGGGGAAAGTGGAAGTTCCCCGAAGCAAAATGGGATGGAGGTAAGAGGGGAAAGAGTCATTTCCCTGGAGGAAGGGAGTTGAGTAGATCTGGGAAAACTTGCCCGGCAGTGGGCGGCGAGTGGTCTTGTGGAAGCTGGCCGGGACAGTTGATTAACAATGGTGCCAGCGAGTGAGGGCTTCCGAAAAGAGCAGAAATGGATTTATACTAGCTAATATGCCGAGCAGGACCGTGGACACTGTCCTTAAAAGCAAGGTTAAAGTGTCTTGGAGGCTAGGGCTTTAGAAGTTACCTTTAGGATGACAGCGAAAATACTGGAAAATAAGGACATCAACAGGATGGGGAATTGGAGAGGAAAAGGGGAGGAGTAGCCTAACTAAAGGTGAAACTGCGACTTGATCAGAAAGAGGATATTCATGAAGCGGATAGCATGCCCTGCTTAACTGAAAATAAAAAGTCTTGTACAGCCACTCACCTGGTAATACTAACAGTTTTTACTTAGTGGGATTTAAAGTGTATTTTCTCACTTATTCATTCATTCATTCATTTTTGAGAAAGGGTTTAGTTCTGCAGCCATGGCTGGTTTCTATATAGACCAGGATGGCCTTGAACTCACAGAGATCCTTCTGCCTCTTGTCTCCTGAGTGCTGGGATTAGAGGCATTTCAAAAGAAAAAAGTAAATATTTGTAGAATTTTTGGTGTACAGAACTCAGTACTGGATTGTTACATAGGAAGATCCGAGATTTTAAACGCAGTTGCTTGCTGGCTTGGTACAGCTTGGTTGGCTCCATCTTAGGTTTCTGATTCAGTAGGCCTAGGGTGGGGCCAAGAATTTGCAGTTATCTCAAGTGATGCTTGATGTTCTTCAAGGGATCATACTCTGAGAACACCTTGCTTTAATGGAAAATGGCAGTAGTTAGTAACCCAAGAATACCGGGATACCTGCCCATCATGCTGAAGAGATAGTAGGAGCAAATTCTGTGGGGAGGGGATTGAGAGAACATCTTATAAAGGATATCCACCTCCTCTCCCATTACTGTGGATGATACTCAGTATCTCACACATGCTAGGCATGGGCTCTGCCTCTGAGTGCTGCTTCTCCAATCCCAGAATATTTTTTAACATCTTTTAAAAATCGGATTATGATTACTTAGTAACTTTAAAAACTATTATTGTACCACCAGCGTTGAAAGTAAAACAGAATATACTAGCTTTGCATTTGTTGAAGGAAAATATTGTTTAGGGAAACTTCTTAATACATATGTTTTAGGTCACAATGTAAAATGTATTTCTTACATTTCTTAACAACCTTCAGAAAAGTTTGACACTATTTTGAGTCATGCAGTATGGCAGAAGCAAACCTTTAATATTAAGGAATTAGGTTATTTATCTTTATTTTGTGGTAGTGTTTGGATGGTGATAGTCTTATTAAAGTATGTCAGTTTGATCTTACATATTGTATTGTGCCTCTGATTCTGTGGACCTTTGTTGGATACTGAGAATCTTTGGCATGGGTGCTTAGGAATTTGAGGCAGAGAAACAGTGGTGTTTCTCAGACGACTCTTGTTTTACGTGGCCCTCAGGCTTACCAGTTTTTCTTTCTTTAACCGTGGTCGAAGACACATGTATCGACAGATTAACATATAGTGCTGTAAAAGACACATGTGTAGACAGTTAACATCAAGCAGTTAACTCTAAATTGAGCTGGTGTTAGAATATTTCATGTATGAAAGATAAGCAAGCACAGAATAAACATTTCAAGAGAGAAAAATGAAAAGATAGCTCGCTTTTAAAGACTAATCTCAGCCGAGATGAGACAGGAGGATTGCTGAAAGATAGTGGTCAGCCTGGCTAGAGAATGAGACCAGTCTTCAAAAAAAACAAAAACAAAATTGGGGGCGAGGGTGGGATGGGGGGGGAGTACCAATGGGGTAGAAGCTTAACCACTGAGATACTCGTTTGTTGTAAAGGAGCTTTTGTTCTGGTAGGTTTTATTTTTCCTGAGAGTGAACTAGGTTAGGTGTATCCTAAATGTAGCTGACAGTATGTATTTGAAGCTGTAATAAGACTGTGACTGTTTTGTACTACTCTCGGATTAGTTTTTTTCTCCTGAAAGCCAGATGGCTGCCAGGCATGATGGTGCACAATTATAATTCGGACGCTTGGGAGAATGAAGCAGGGGAATTGATGTTAGTTGGAGGCTAGCCTGGGTTACATAGCAAGCCCTTCTCTCTCTCTTCATTTTTTATTTTTTTGAATTGGGGTTTCTCTGTGTAGCCCTGGCTGTCTTGGAACTGGCTGTGTAGACCAGGCTAGCCTGGAACTCAAGAGATCACCTGCCTCTGCCTCCTTAGCACCGTGATTGAAGGCGTGCGCCACCACACCTGGTGAAGCCCTTTTCTCAACAGCAATAGTACCAACAGAAACAAAACAAAACTGAAAACTAGATGGCTTATTTTCAAACTAGATGAGATTGATTTAGATCTGTTTTTATGGATATAAGAATAAAGAAAGCAGTTCTGAAAACTGAAAAAGATGATCCTTGCAGTTCTCTTTAAAAATCCTTAATCCATGGGATTATGTAACCTTTCATTAATGTTTTGTGAAATTGTGAAGAAATATTGCTGCAGCTTTGCATCAATATTTTTTAGTTTTTCCACTTTTTAAATTCTATTTCAGATGGTTCCAAACTAAATTTTGATTTCAAAAAAATTCTAAATAGAAGGCCAGAAAACATAATCATTTTATGTTTGATTTCAAAAATAGTCCTTTCACAAAATAAATTCACTATTTGGAGGTTGGGGTGGACAAATTTTCAAAACTGTAAACATTCAGTTTTTTACATTGAAATAAATGCAGTTAGTATTCCTATCACTAGCATGATTGTCCTTTAAGTCTTTGTATGTTTATATAGATTAGTTCTATACTAAGTGATGGGAGAATTAAAATCTTAAGTGGAGAAAAAAAGAAAATTCATTTCTCATAATGTTGGACATTGAGCACTTAGATTACTTGCTTTAATAACTGGACTTTATTCAGTTATTCACCCATAATTTAATCATACTTATCTAGGAATAGCTTTGATTGCTCAACTCATTTTACAGTGAAATTTATTAATCTGTCATTGAGTAAATTCTAAATCCCAAAGAACCCTTTCCCACCTGTACTTGAGACTCACTTTCACTTACCAAGGCTTAGACAAGTGATTTTTAAATGCAGTTTTAATTAGTAATAGTTAATTATTTGGTTTTCTATTTCAGGAGGTCTATCCTTCCATTATAATAGCTTCTGTTCAGCCTTTTCTGCCTCCTATTCTCAACTGCTCATACAGTAAATCTTTGGAAATGTTGGTGCCCGGGAATCCAGTCTGTAAAATCACAAACTCCCTTTATCTGACTTTTACTTTACTTCAAGAATTCCTTTATCAGAAAAGACCCAGTAGTAAAGTTACCACCTTTTTGAAAAGTATTTTATTCAATAAAGTACTTGAAGCTTTTTAAACCTTGGCATTAGAAATTTTGATTTTATAACATCCTATGAATTTCATTATTAGATGTAGAAATGCTGTACAAGGCTTTAGGATACATATTTAGAATTAAGACACGTTTAAAGAGGGATTTTGGAGAATACAAACTATGCACTTTGAAGTCTTGACGCAAAAGGAGGGTTGAAATTAAGGGAGAATACTGACATGCTTAAGGACTCCAGAGTCTGGAGGATCTGCAGGAAATGTGGCTAGAGGAGTGAGCTGTTCTTGGCAGTTTTCCTGGAGTGACATATGTAAAGGAGGACGATCCTATTTGCAACTTTCTGCATGGACTTATTCTTAGTTCTCTACAGTTTCTGCTGCTTTGTTTTCTTCCAGTCAGGAAATAATGCTAGAACGCAAGTCAGTAGACGGAGGTTTGTGAGTCCTGGCGGATGAGAAGATGGGCAGGACTCTCTAGATTTATTGTTTCCCTCATCCTTCAGTGCTGGTGATCTAACCCAGAGCCTTGGGTATGCTAGGCAGGGCTGAGCTACAGCCTTGCCTCAGCCATGGGGATTTATAAGAAACCTCAGGATTAACCAAAGAGCTTTTGTGTTAGCCATTAATGTTCAGTGACTTCCCCTTCTGTCCCTACCACAAGCTCAGTTTCTTTCCATTTATTGCTGTATTTTTAAATTATGTGTGTGTGCAGACTTGGCAACAGGTTCTTTACTAGGTGAGCCATTTCATTGGCTGTTTTGTTTTTCACGTACTGGGGATCAAAACCAGGGCCTCATG